CTTTCTGCCAAAATCAATGGTAGTTTGGTGATCCGGGCCTACACACCAGTTTCCAGTGATGAAATAAAAGGTTATGTTGATTTAATTATAAAGGTAAATTTTAGTTTCTGTTCAAGCCATTTAACTGGTTGTCTCAAATACAGCTCCCTTGGCAAGCAAGTAAGTAGCACCTGTGTAAATGGCATTTGTGTCTGCTTACATGAGTTTTAGTTCCTACTCCCCACTGTGCAGCACAACGTGTCCTCCTAAGCATGTATTTGGCCTCTGGCCACATTTATTCTTTGTCTCTTTGGCTCAATGTTGTTTCTGCATTTTGCATGGAATAGTCCCTGGATAAAATGCTTAAAGAGAAGGAGGAGCAGAGGCCAACACCCAGGGACCTTTCATTTCCAGGACAGAAGCTGTTTTACGGAGTCCCCAAGCCACATTCCCTTTAGCTTCTTCTTTTCATGTCCCACTTATCTTCCTCTTTTGAGTGCCCCTCAAGCCAGCTTCTACAGGAGAGGTAAGAATACATTTGCTGAGTAATAGGCATTGTTGGCTGTGGGGGACAGAGGGGGCTATAAGTTAAATATTCCATTGCTTGAATAAATGCCGTAACCACTAAACAATGGGGCTCAATGATGGGCAAGTCGTTGTCCTCCTCCTCACAGTCCTGTTTTTTCTGTGATTAACTTTTAGGGATTTCACAGGATTATGTGTCTTCCTAGATGGAATAGGACAGTGTTTCTCAACCTTTTTAGATTTAAGGCACCCCTCATTAAACTCAAGGCATCCCTTGGAAAATACCACATTTTTAACTCATTTTTTGACTACAGAAAAATGATAGGGCAATTTTTCTGTTGCAAAGAACTCAGAAAGGCCGCAACAAATGAGAAGCTATTTAATATTCGGAGTCCTATTTAAAAACTCTGGGTTTATCTTGTGAATCAAGTGTGCACTCCACAGCACCGTTGAAAGAATCTTAAGGGACCCCAGGGTGCAGCAGCATCCTGGTTGAGAAAAACTGGAATTGGATCACAGCAGAGAGTAAGAGACTGGAGCTGATTCCTTTGGAGCATGCTTAGAAGGACAAGTTGAGTTGCATGGCGGGGAGGATCTGAAAACTGTGGGTGGCCTTAAATTCTGCATAAGTGCTACTTAACTGCCTGAAGAGGGAGTTGGATTTAGGCCAGCTTGTTTACTGTACAAACCAGTGTTTGCCTGGGAAGAAAAAGTCTGTGAAAATTTAAACTGATACTGTCAAACAGCATAGTTATTAGTGCGGAGTACCTTCCAGGGCTGCTGAATACACTTGAAACCAACCAACCCTCCCTGGAGGAAGTTTGCCATGAAATCATCCTAGTTTGAAGGTCAAATATTGTACTGTGCAGTCCATGCCTACATTTTCTTCAGCTGGGCTGCATGCAGGGGTGGTGGTGAAATACCAGCATTAGCATTTTGCTTGTAGAACCGCAGTGGCTTCTGGTTACAGTGGACAAACATTTGAAAGCAAGGGATTTTCTGGATCCTATTTCAGATGCTTAGTGTAACTGCAGGCAAGCAAAACGCTGTTTTTTAAAAAAAATTATCACTGCTACCTGGGACCTAACTGGTTATGACACAAATAGCCACTGGTTGGTTTTTTTTCAGGTCTACTACAAGAATGTCAATCCTAAGTTCCCTGAAGGTGGAAAGATGTCCCAGTACTTAAACAGCATGAACATTGGAGATACTATTGACTTCAGAGGGCCAAATGGACTTCTTGTGTATAAGGGGCCAGGTACATTGATGTTTAAATGGAAGGTGGGAATTTAGTTATTTTCAAGGGTAGTTTAAAGCTTGAGGGCTTAAGTTTAGGACATGGCTTTCTTTTGAAATTAAATGGCAGGAAGAAGCCCAGGTTTCTCTCACCAAGAATGAATTCCTATGTTTTTTGACTGAAGCCCGTCCTAGTTGGCCATAGTGGAGGGGGAAGAGTGGTGCACTCTTTCCTTGTTCACCCTGCCCTTGTGTTAGGTGTTGGTAATTCAGTTCTTTATACATTACCGCTGTGATCATTGTACCAGATGGTCCTGGCCTGTTTCACACTGCAAGCCTCCCTATGCATTGCCCTTTTGGGAAATTCATTACTGCAGTTAAATAAACTCCCTGGCTGGAAACCAATTCCACTTTAGTTTTAAAACAGGCTTGACTTGGTTAAGGCTCTTGCATGTAGCTCATTCTGGATGGGAGGAAACAACCTGCTGATACAAACAACTCTCACTTGAGGTGGCTGTAAAGGAGAAAGGCAATTTGTTTCACGCACCTCAGCTTTATGCAAGAAGTGCTGATGCTTTGTACTTTTCAGGATCAGGCCCTTATTATGAATAATATACAGATGAGTCCATTATCTTTTAGAGGGACTCAGTGACCCATGTAACACCCAGATCCACACACGTTTCTATTGTGTTTCAGTTGCCATAGACAATGGCAGCACTACAGACAACAGCATGGGAAGCTCATTATTTGTTACAAATCTGTTAAATGATTTATCAGAGTGTGCATGTGAAAAATGCTCTGTGTAGAACTATCTGGTTGGCTTAGTTTGTGGAGACTAATTGCTTTGCAAATGGCATCTAATTTTCAAATTTGAGTAAAGCAGTGGCATCTTCTGGTGTGGAACAGAAGTTATCTGGTTGTTTTCATGCCTGGATATTAGAGGTCAGAGTTTCCTGGCTATGACTGCCAAGGACTTAATTGGATTCTTGTAGCAAGAGCTGAAAGAATTACAAATACAATAATAAAAAGGGTCTTACCTAAGTGTGCAGCACATTTGACTGCTTTATTGCAGATCTGTTGAATATTGCTACTAAAAGGTGAGATCTTCAGCTGTGCTTTCATAGAGTCAAGGTGATTTACCAACCTCGAGAATTCCCCTGGCAGAGACAGTGCCACTCACCACCCTCAGGCCCTTCAGTGTGGGGCCATAGTACTCCATCAAATTCACAGCTGCCAGATAGTGTTTCAGGGTCAATGTAGCTGGCTACAATTTGGTTAGCCTTGATCCTGCTCGGAATTATCCAGGATGGTGAAGAAGTCCATAGAGGCTACCAAGGTACGATAAAGCCACTTCTGTCATTTCCATCTGTTTTCTGTTCTGAGCACTGCTTGGCTGGACCAGAAGACCTGACACAGTGAATTAAGCTGTAGGCAGCAATAATTGTCCTTGCATAGCAACTGTATGGATTACTTATCAGTTCATTTACTTACAAATGTTGTGTGTTTCTTCCAGGTAAATTTGCTATCAAGCCTGACAAGAAGTCTGAAGCACAGATAAAGTTTGCAAAGCATCTTGGGATGATAGCTGGGGGAACAGGTGAAACTATTGGTTGCTTGTACAAGTTACAAAAATTTCCCGTTTCTGCAGTTTAAATGTGTCACACTGTACCCGTGCAGGTTTTTTTTTTTTACAATTTAAATGAGTTTGCTGCATTGCAAACTAGACCACATCTGCATGTAGTTTAGTTTGCAACGTAGCTATTTGTAACATAGTGGGTTTTTGACAGCTTGCCCCTCCTGCCACGGGAGAAGTGGGCTGAAAGCAGAAGTGGGGAGGAGCCTGATACTTTTTTCCCCCCAGAGTCTGCCTGTGTTTCCTGTGCCCAGGGAGCATGCTGCGGTCAGGCCAAGCAGCTCCTGAGCTGTGGTGGGTCCCGGTCCTTTCCTCCGTGGCCATTTGGGCAGGCTGCTAGCAGGCCAGATGCTGGCCCAGCAAGAGTTCGTTTGGGCTGGGTGCTGCTTCTGAGCTGGGGCAACACCGGGGGCAACACCACCGCAGAGGGAAGGACCTCTTGGGGCTTAGGGGCTGCTTGGCCTCCCAGTAGCTTGCCCCCTGGCCACGGGAGATGTGGCAGGTTCCACAGAAGGAAAAAAAAAAAGAAGGATCAGGGCCCTTGCTGTAATAGTGACAGAAGCCCCTAAATTGAAATGGTGGTTCTTTAATTATCGCAATTAAAAAACAACCATTTCAGTTTAGGGGACTAAACCACAGCCACGTCTACAAACACCCCATGTCATTGTGCTAAGGGTGAGCACTTTGCTAAAGAGCATACAGGTTGTCAGAGGATTGTAATGAATGTCACACACACATTTTATGACCATGGAATTATTGTTTTTATTACCAGTTCAAGCTACTACTTAACAGTGCTTGCACTGATACAGGGATTTAATATTTCAGTGGTTATTTGCTTGAAGTGAACATATTACACCTTGAATATCCAATGGTTTCTATTCTTCAGTGCTGAAGGTCTTCAGAGCCCAGATAATTTTTACCACTATTCGTCAGTAGCTAATTGGTCCTGATTGCAGACCTATCATCCTGGCACAGTATTAATTGCTATCTACCACAGCAACACAAAAATAGGGTCTTCAGTGTGGCTTGGGAGCCAATAATTTACACACATTCTAATTTTAGCTCTTAAACTGATTTAATACATGACCTTGGGTAAATCACTTAACCCTTTACCCTATGTGCAATATTTCCTTCTCTTTACTATGAAAGTGCTGTGAGGGTTAAATGAATTAATGTTGAAAATGGACATTCCTAGGTATGAAATATTACTTTGTCACTTTTGGAGTGAAATTATGGAACATCAAAGCTGATATGGGTCATAAACTGAGATGTGGGGCCTTGATCCTGGGCCTCATGCAGACAAAACTCTCAGTGAAGTTGCCTGTTTCTGCACTGCAATCTGTGGATGGGCTTAGAGAAAAAGCTCATTTGTGACTCTTATTATGAATAGGAATTACACCGATGTTGCAGCTGATTCGTCACATCACAAAGGACCCCAAGGATGACACAAAATGTTACTTACTTTTTGCTAATCAGGTAAATATGCTGTAGCTTTTGTTTGCCAGATTCTGTGCTCCCTGCTCCTCCCACAGGACTTTGAACTGCTCAAACTGTTATGGTATTTAACCCAGAAAATTCCTTTTCTACATAGATTCAGTGAATGCTCTTCAGGATAGTCTCTCTTCACTTAAATATATATTTAACACATGTCTATGGCAAGACAAGCATCTGATGAATGTTTTGATATATTTTGTTTAAAAGTGGTTTGTAGCAGGAATTACAAGAGAGATCATGACTAATTGCATTAGTTCGCGTAGATTCAAGTTGGGTTTCTCTTACTCTTAAACAAAATATTATCCTGAACCTTATTGTGAAAAACTATCAGAAATTTCTCACTCCTGAAAGGAAGGTTTTATGTGAAATTCTTACCTCAAACTGGTATGCCTGCTCACTTCCACTTCAAAATTTGCAAAAACACCAGTGCTAAGAGACCAAGACAGGGCCAAATGGGCTAACAGTAATTCTGAACATAAGTCTGAATTTTTGGTATGTCTTTTTAAATAAACCCTTTAACTCTCCTTTAAAGGAATTATGTAGCTTGGTGTTAAGTCTATTAATTTCACTCTTAAATCAGAATTTATAGCAAAGAAATGTTATAAACTACCATATATTTAAGAGGAAAAAAACCTGCTTGCTTAGTTTGGCTACTTTAATAATTATAAATGAGGAAGACTGAAAGGTAGAGGAGGTGAGAACTGTGTAACTTTGAACTGCCTGTGATCCCTTACTGCCGAAAACAAAGTTAGCTCTGTTAGTTTGTATTACTCAGTGCACTGAGATAGTTTGGAGGAAAATAATTCTCTCTCTACATTTTCTAGACAGAAAAAGACATACTATTAAGAACAGAGCTAGAGGAGGTTGCTAAGAAGCACCCCAGTCAATTTAAACTGTGGTACACACTGGACAGGCCTCCTCAAGGTAGGTTGCTGATGCATGAAAAAAGGTCTTTTTTGTCCTCCTCTCTGTATACAAGGCTCCTTGTATACATCATTTGTACTGTACCCATTCCTTTGCTATCAGAGCCCTTCTAAAATATATTACTAATCTTGAAACTCGTCTTAAAATGAGAAGTTGTTCTGTAAACTTTTGCTGCAAAGTTAATTCCCTGGACTTCCCAGCAAAATCTATAGTTCTGCTGCTCTGTGTTTTCTCCTTTCCTCGTTTCTTCAGCAGAATCATATTACATTGGCAGGTACTAAGCAGTTCAGTTAGACAAGCTGTCATGGGCACAACAGAAAAGTGGTGCTTACAGTAGTTAGGTCGTGGTAGGCTGCAGTTGCAGGCACCAGAGATGAGAATGTGAATTGTTAGATTTACCTCCCTCTTAAAACACTGGGAGCCAAGTGCACTGCTTGGATTTATTTGGAGTGGTGTGGTCCTATCCTTGTGTGCAAGTAGCTTCTTGCAGTGCTGATAGTATATACAGCCCACAAACAGCAATATGTGAAGGGTTAGCATTGCTGAAGATACAGACAGGACTCTTGGTATGAACTTATATTCAAATCTTTGTCAGATACTAATAGCATCCCTTGTCACTTTTGTCTTTCAGATTGGAAGTACAGCTCTGGTTTCATCACTGTGGACATGATTAAAGCACATCTTCCTCCACCTGGCAATGATTCCATCATTCTGATGTGTGGGCCACCTCCTATGATTCAGTTTGCTTGTCAGCCCAGTCTGGACAAACTGGGTTATTCCAAAAATAACAAGTTTGCTTATTAACATGAAAAGGCATTGAACAATGTCAGTAAGCATACTATATTCCTGGCACATGCTGTGATAATCCTCTATACTGCAGCTCTTTTAGAGCAATGTAATGCTCTGATGTAGACTCTACTCCTTTTTAAGTTGAATGTCAAGAATTTTATTGCCTAGGTACTTAAATCTGTTGTGTTCCTACATAAATTTTCAGTATTATAACACACACCCTATTGAGTAATATTCTTTAACCTCCTTACATTAAGCAGTAAGATACGGAGTTGCATATTTATAAGATTAAAGTATGAAGGTGGTATTATTGTATAAAGTTAAAAGCTAGGAGACTCTAGGCACTGGCATTCAATTATCCTGATATGCTCTGCCTTCGCTGCTGTACTGAGAAAATTTTGTATCTGAGGAAGGGAGAAGTTCTGTTCATTTGCTTAATTTGTTAGGATCAACATTCAGCAGCCTGCAGTTGTGCCCTGAAGTCTGAAGTTCTTTCCCAACTTGTTAGGAGTATATGGCAACACCCTACAAGTAATTTGCTAATTAACATGAATATGTTTTTGTTGCATCACCTTTGTCCCTGTGAAACAAGGGATAAAAGTCTTGGTAATCCTAAGAAAACAAAAAAGATTGGGAAGAAATGGCAGTGGCTCAGGGATGCTGAATAGAATTCTCAAAGCTTCTCAAAATTGCTTTATTGTTGTAATAAGAATTCTCATTTCAGAATACAGCTTAATTTGGGAGGCTAATATTTAACCTTGCACTGAACATTATTCTAGGTTATGTTTTCGTATTACCTTAACTGCCGTTGAAGAAAGAGGATTTCAGTAACTGTCACTGCCAAATGCATAACTGATATTTACACTGCAGTTCAGTGTAATGTATCTAGTGACATTAGATTACGGCCTTGTTACACAGTAATTTTGGGCAACTCCTGAGTTGTCCACACATTAATACCTGAAACTAGTTTTAAGTGCTTGTTATGTGGCTCAAAGTTATGCCATTCCAGGGTAGGATTCTCTCTGATCAGCTCATGTTACACTAAGGCGTAACCACTGTAGGCTCCACTTTAGTGTAAATACCCTTTCCACTGGCCCAGATCAGTCGCACTGCTGCCACACCTCCCCAAGCACCCCAGATCCCCTCTCACTGCCCCCCTCCCCCTCCATTCCTGCTCTCTTACTCGTGGCTGTCCAGCCTGTCTTGGGGGAGCAGGCAGGGAAGGGTTAACCTTCCTGCCTGGATGCTGTTGCTGCTCTGTGCCAGAAGACCAGCAGCCTGCACAGCCAAGGCAGGCAGGTTATGCCCCAGGTGGTGGGCAGAGGCAAAAGATGGGGGAACTTGGATTTAAAAAAAAATCTCTTTAATGACTCTACTGCTTTACATTCTGTTCTCAGGCCTTATTTGTACTGTACTGTGCCTTAACCCTGGAAGATCTGGGGGACAGGAACTATGTTCTTTATTTAACTGTAAAGTCCCACACACCTTGCCCATAAGACTTTTAAACCAAGACCGGACCAAAGAATTGCTAACTTTTAAAAATGTTTCTTGGTACCTTACTGATGAAATCCAGTGACAGTTCAAGTGAAGGAAGGATCAAAGTTTGAGGCAAGGAAACAATGACAGGTCTGAGCAGGGGAAAACAGCAAAATTTAGATGCTTAAGGCCTCTGCTACATGTTACATGTGTTACACAGGTAATGGGTTAATGGTGCAATAAATTTAATCAGCCACATCTGTGAAGTAATTATCACACTATAACAATGCCTATCCATCTATAAAAAGACCCAACCAGCTACAAAGGTGGTGCCTGAAAATATATAACAGCTGTATAGTTGGTTTCTATCCAGCTTTAATTTGAGTATGTGGCAGGACCCTAAGATAACAAGGCTAAAAAAGGACTTAAATCTGAAATAGTAATTCTGACCTGCTTAAAAGGCTATTCTCAATTCTTCTCTGCAGAGTGGCTTGTTGGAAGTGTGCCACTGTGCAGAGAAGAATTAGATTCATTTGGCCAAGAGAGTAAGACAGTATTGCCTACTAGCTAGGGCATTTATTAGAGAGGAGGAGGTGCAAGTTCTAGTGGTCCAAGGACTTTCTGTATTTTGTTTAATGACTAACTGCCCTGGGAGTGGAACCTGTGGCACTCTAGTCTGGTAAATCTTGCATTTCAAGGGAGCACCTCTGACTATTTTAAAAGAAAAATGAGCCTTCCTCAGTTCCTTGAAATGAAGCATGCAAGGATTTACATTTGGGAAAGGCTTTGGGCTGAAGATCCCAAGTGCTAGAAGAGGTCTTACCACAGTACATTGAGTAAGGTACCTCAGTCTTACAGACTGACAGCATTTTAGATGTACCCTGTCCTCAGCATTTCATGTTGGCTACCTGTAAGCTGCTGTTTACTGGGATACTTTTACTATGTGCATTTGTTCAGTGTCTACCAAGTTCAGAAGTTATTCCAAGTTAGGGGATATTTATTAACTAATGAAGAGAATATAGGCATAGAGGAATCAGCCTAAACTTCCCCATAGCCAAGCTTGTGTAGAAATTACTACAAAGAGTCACCAGGAGATAGAGAAACAGCCAGAATCTATTCACTACAATGTGACAGCGCAGATGTCAACATTTTGCATTTCCTTGAACTGTTCTCTCTCCTCTATCCTGCTGGCTTGATTTTTTTTTTTAGCATAGGCAAAAATTAGAAGTTGAAATAATCTGATAAACTTTTGTTTAAATTGTTGTGTAGACTTTACTATGACACACAAGCTTTAAAGTGTTAAATTAGAAAAAAAATCCAGTCAGGCCTCCTGGAAATATGTCAGCAGTATAACACTGCTTTCCTCTCTTGCACTGGTAATGGTATCACTTGAGTCACTATTCCTGCCTTTGTGGGTTAATTCATCACTGAACATTTCATTTCAGATGCTTAGTGTCCGCTGTGCTGATAATTAATACTCCTTGCCTTTTGAAAGCACTGAGTGGAGGTGTAACTGATCCCACTAACTCCAATGGGACTTCCCCATGGAAATCCCAGTCTTTGTCAAGTATATAAATTAAACAATTTCGCCATATCCTTTATACAGCAAGAATAGACATGGTGGAAAATAGCTGCTTTAATTCCTATAATTAACATTTATACAAAAGCTTTCTGAGGTGAAGTGGCAAACTAAGCTTCATAAAAAGTCACTTAAGTTCCCCCTGGCTTTACAGTCACAAATGGGAATATGTTCAGTAAGGACTGAACCTGAAATGAAGGGAGCCGGCAAACAGAAGCAGAAACAAAATAAAACAAAACACAGCATAAGGTTTACAAAAAAAAAATCACTGGGTTCTCATGCAAACATCACAGCTTGTTTCTGGCCAAATCTCTGTCATGTGACTATCCAAAGTTCATATACATTTAATTACTTACAGTAGCATGAAAGCAATTCAGTGACAGAAGGAAAGTGGCTGGTAAAGGCCTTACAGCTGATCACCTCCAATTGCTAGTTCTGAGTTCAGGGAACTCCATTCTGTATGCCACTCTGACTCACAGTTCAGGCAACTTCAAAATGTTCAGAGCCCACTGGCCCATTAGTACTTCCTTACATTTTGCTTTTTATAGGAGAAGGCTATATACAGTAGAACTTCCTAGAACTTTCCATTTGTACAAGGAGCTGTCATCACTTGCAACAAACCCCATGCTGTGCTGCCAGTTTCATTGCATGCACTTCAAAGCAACTGCAGGGGGAGTGTTGAACCCTGGTCTGAGAAAGTCAACATGCAGGCTGTCTTTGCTGGGTGTTAGGTCTGTTCCCTGACTATGAGCACACTCAGTGTTTATAATAAGTACCAAGAAAAACTAAACAAAGTAACCTTTTTGGGTCCCTCATCTTTTCCAAGGGTCTCAAATTGTCCTTCTAATTGTTGCTGGTTTTAGGCAGAGAGAGAAAAAGCATAATAAGGATTAATGTATTCCCTCCTGGCCTATTCTGGGAACATGCCCACTACATCATCTCACTTTTGCTACTGGCCATTCACAAGGTGTGAAAGCTTATCTGTCTTCTCTCTCCATCCCAGTGTTTTAAGCAGGACAGAGAAAGCAGAGACAAACGGAGGTACAAGAGGAGGGAACAAAGTTCCTGCTCCCCCACTGACAGCTTTCTCAAGCTCCTAAACTAGCCGTGTCTATACATCAACAGTTCTGTAAACATTGTAGCTGTCTGCCAGACCCCAAGATAGCACCTGCTGCACCATTTGGTCGAGGAGAAAAGGAGCAGTTGGAATTGTTAAAGGCTTGTCCTCATTGCTTTTACTTCATTCAGGAAGACTCTGAACCTGTGGCTATGGTGCCAATCTACTGACATTAATCCCTATGTGGAAAGTAAATTATAAAAGTACAAAATTATAAAAGTTTGCTTTCAGCTGTGCATATATTCACCATATATCTGCAAAGACATCTTTTACTGGTTTTGTTTCTCAACTCTGGATGAGAAATAATTTTGCATAGTTTTTCTTTTTAACATCTAGGTAAAAATACTTATTAGGGTACCCTGTATATTTTTCTTTACCTGTAAAGTGTTGCTGTATCAATGACATATAAAGTATGACTCATTAGCAGAAAAGCATATGCTATTTTCTGCCATATAGCACCCAGTTTCCTTGGCCACTTATCTGGATGTGTGCGTGAGGTATGTGTGTTCTTGATCATGCTGAAACATCATCTCCAGTCTTCAAAGGTGGGTGTTAAAAATCTATTGTCATTCAGCATTTCATCTTGGCTTAGCATATTCTGAAAGAGAGAGAACAGGATGTGGATTACGTAAGTATCCAGTTAGATGCATATAGCATTGGGAAAGGAACCAAAATAAAACCTGATTCACAACAGATGGAATTCGCTATATTATTACTATTATACATCCCATGGAATAATGCATAGAAAAATTCAAAATTATGTGCAGAAACTCAAAATTATGCAAAAGTAATTAAATTTATTTATTTCTACAAATTAAACTAAATATAACAATATTTGAATGTACTTTAGAAATATATGCAGGTACTTTGTATAGTTGGGGGGTGCGTGTGGGGGGTTTTGTGAAGATGTGGGGAGGTGTGTGTGCATGTGGGGTTTGTGAATGGGTGTGGGAGGTGAGAGTATTGGAGTATGTGGGGAGTTTGTGAAGGAGAGTTGAGGGGTGTGTGTGTGTGGGGTTTGTGGGAGGGTGTGGGATTTGAGGGGTGTTGTGAAGAGGAGTGTGTGTGAGGGCTTATAGGTGGGTGTGCCCCCCCCCAACATCTCCCCTCATGGTGCACAGCTTCCACTGCTGGCAGCTCGGTGGCAGTAGGCAGCAGGCCTTCAGGGTGCTCATGGCCACGGCAGGTAAAGCCGCTGGCGGTGCATGCCTCTGGCTGAGTCTCAGGGCCTGCACTTGCTGGCACAGCCTGTCTGACCCACTGGCATGCGCCTTTGCCTAGACCAGGCTGGCTCTGTGCCAGCGTGTGGGGCTCATGACATTGCAGGTGGGAGCTGCCTGCTGTTGGGCTGGACAGGCTCCATGACTCCATGGGCAGCTTCCCACTGGGGTGCTAGAAGCCCTATCTGGAGGCATGGAGCTGGCTGGCATGGCCCAATGACATATGGACCAGGAGCTGCGTGCCATTGGTCTGGACAGACTCCACGTCTCCACATGGAGATTCCAACACTCCAGCGGGAAGCTGCACGTGGAGGCAAACAGGAGCCCACCTGCCCTGATGGCGTGGGACTCCATGCCTCCATGTATAGCTTCCCACCTAGCCTGATAGTGTGCTGCTCCCAATCCACATGCCATTGGGCCAGGCTAGCTCTCTACCTTGGGTTTCCAACACTCCAGTGGGAAGTTGCAAATGGAGTCATGGAGTCATGTGCCATCAGGCTAGGCAGGCTCCTGCTTGCCTCCATATGCAGCTTCCCACTGGAGTGCTGGAAGCCTCACATGGAGGCACTGAGCTGGCTGGCCAGCCTGGCCCAATGGCATGTGACCTATACCCACCCACAAACTCCACACCTTCCCACCCACCCCACTCCTCCCGCAGGCAGGAGCTCCCCTCCCCACTTATACAGTCGAACGGCTTTGTGCCTCGGCTTCATAGAGGTGGAGGCACAGCGCCCTCCCACAGTTAAATTATGTAAAATTATGCAATTTTGCACAGTCATACATTTAATACGCAAAATTGCATGGGCGCATAATTGCATCATTCCCCAGGGTGTACTATCAGTCAGTTGAAATATTTTGCTAATATTAACAGAATGAAACTGGTTTCTTCATTGTAGTTCAATGTAGCAGGATGATTAGTATTAGGAACTTCTTACATTTAGGTGATACTGCATGCATCTCCACAAGTGCTTTACTGTGGGGGCTGACTAATTAGTTCTGCAGTAAAGTGTTACTGCCTATACACGTGGCACTATTAGGCTGCAGTAAACTAATTAACCCTGTTGTAGGATAATACTGCCCAACACAAGTACAATCCTACAGCAGAGTTTAGTGCACTGAACCATATGTGTAGATGGTGCCTGGGGACTGCTGGGGTATGAAGATGCTACAATGCAGGGGCTGCCTGCTGGGCTAGTCCTACACTGTAGCACCCTTGTGTCCCAGCCAGCCCTTCTGCAGCACATTGAGCCAGGGCACTGCAGTTCTGAGCTGGCAGGCTTACCTCCCAGGAGCAATAAACTCCAGCATGAACTGTGCTGGAGTTCATTCAGGCACATTGATAGAACATGTAGCTGTGCCTGCCACTATGCAGAGGAAGCTTACATATTACATAACTGTTCATTCTGCCCTAGAGCAGGTTTATCTTCTAAAATTAGTTTACAAATACAGGCATCAATGGCGTAGTTAATTTTATACAGTGTATCGTCCATATTTAGGATTCTGTCCAGTGAAAGTAAGCACTTCTTAAGGGAGATGGGACAACCATTGCTTGCAAGATTGTTAAATTGAAAAACTGCAACTTTAGAACCTGTTTTTGTTAAGTACAGGTACCAGTTTGTCACACATTATACATAGGATGTGTTTAATTGCGTTTAAAACCATGAGCATTTGTGCATTCAAGCAGGAAAACACATGCTAAGTGCTATCTTATGGTAGTAAAGTTAAGACTTTTTTGGTAGGAATATCTCCATTTAGCGTTAAATAATATGTGCTAGGCTGTTGTGGGACTGCATCATGAAGATAATACCAGTGGTCCTCACCAGTTCTAGTATGGTGTCGGGGCTGGGAATGACAGACAGACACATGGTTGTCGGTTCCAGCCCTTCCATCACACCAGAGCCTTAAACCAGCTCTGGAGGTAGGAGGGGGATGAGGTGGGGGGTGGGGGAGGAGTGAAGACTGACAAACATCTGATTGACCACACAGCCGTCTCCAGCTCTGTCCACAGAGTTGAGATCATGTAACTGCCCAGAACACTTTCTAACTCATAGTAAAGCTTACTATGCTCTAAATAAAATATGTCTTAAGTGTAACGTGTGACACATCCCTGGGCAGAGGGTGAGGAGAAGCCATGGATCCAGCACATCAATTAGACCCTATTTGAAATCTGAGATTATGGATAAAGGATTAAAAATGGTTTTAAAAATAAGACAATGCTAAATTTTGGATCCAGAACCAAGATGCAGATAAGTAAAACCAGGACACTTCCAGAGTCTTACCCTTGAAAATCACCTGGAATTAGGGGTGTACGGATAAAGATTTTTGGGCCGATACCAGTGGTTGATTATTAAATGAGCGATATTGGCTGATACTGATCCAAATGCCCATATCCAGCCTAGCAGCTTGGAGAACAGCATCCAGCTGGTAAGTCTGTTGGGGGGGGAAGGGGCAGGGGGAGGGATGGAGGTGGGGGGTTGCTGATTGAGGCCCCTACAGTGAGGGAGTGGGGCTGGGCACCACATGGAGCCACGAGTGGCTCATCAGCAGGGCGCAACTCCCACTGCTGCACACACCCCTGGGGGAACCATGGGGAGCACGTGGCCCCCAGATCTGTGCACAGGGTGAGGATGGGCTGCTGCTGTGGACTGGGACCAGGAGCAGCACTAGGCTCCTCCCAGCGGGAGGGCTGGGCCTGGGCTGTACTCGGGCCAGGAAGTGGTGGTGCTGGGAGGGGTTGCTACAGGGTGGTAGTCCATCCCCCTCCCCACCCCCAGCGCTGCCACCACCTGCCCAAGCGCAGCCCCAGCCCAACCCCCGTGCTGGGAACAGTCTGGCACTGCCCCTGGCTCCAGTCCACAGCAGCAGCCTACTCTCGCCCTGCACACAGATCCAGGGGGCATGTGCCCCCCATGGCTTCCTCAGGGGTGCATGCAGTGGAAGAGGCCCCCCCCCCCCAAGAACA